GAGGTGGCAGAGGATCAGATGGTTAGATAACATCACTGACTCAAGGGACATGAATTTGAGTAAACTCTGGGAGATAGTGAAGGACAGGGGAGCCTGGTGTACTGCAGTTTACGGGGTCACAAAGAGTGAGGTTCGACTCAGCAACTGAACAACAACAATAACAATTGAATTTGTTACAATAGTGCTTCTGTTTTAGGTTTTGATTTTTTTTTTGGCCTCCAAGTATGTAGAATCTTAGCTCTCCAATCAGGGATGGAACCCACACCACCTCCTGCGCTGGAAGGTGAAGTTCTAACCATTGGACCACCAGGAAAGTCCCCTAACAACCCTTTTCGGAAGCTAATTCCCTCCTGTGTGACAATAGTAAGATAAATATCTGGATTTGGAATTCTGAGGGCAAGGGAAATGTGCAGTCATCATTTTGATGAGTGTCATCATTGCTCTCCTCTAGAACTATACTTGTTTACTCTCCTAGGGATGAAGGGGTCTGTTTCCCCAGAGCCTTGTCATCAGTGTGTTAACAAAATTCTGTATCTTTCTCAACTTGATAGGTGAGAGTGGAATCTCTGTGTAGATTTAATTTGCATTTTTCTTAGTTTGAATGAGGCCGCCATCTTTTCTAAGTTTCTGAAATCTTTGCATTTCCTTTTCTGTGAACAGTCTTTCCGTATTCTTAGTCATTTTTATGTTATATTGTTTGGTTTTTTCCTTACTGATTTCCAGGTGTTCTTTGTGTATTAAAGAAAGGGTGATCATAAACATTTTTCTTCTGGAAACTTCAAGAGATAGTCTATACACATAGAAGCAAAGACATATATATTACAGTGAACCCTTTGAACTAGAATTTGCTGGAGGTTCTTTTCACTCAGTGGCCCAGGGGTCTGAGCTGGGGGGCTGGGATCCCTCCAGTCAGAACCTTGGAGCTGGAGCTGAGGACAAGGTTAGACTTTCTCCTTTCTGGGATAGGAGTTAATGACCCCCTAGGTCAAGTTCCAGCAGGCTTACTTAGGCCTTTGAGGGCAGGGGACACTACCTGGGAAGAGCAGCCAGGCTTCATGGTCCACTGAACACTCATCATCAGAATCCTGGTCCAGTGCTCTTTGCACTGTTCGCTGTGTAATAATGTCTGCATACTCTCAGTATGTGATGGGCCAAGCCACACCCTCCCTCTATTCCCTCTTGCCCAGGGCAGACATTTGTGATCACACGTCCCCAATGAGGAATGGGGTTGTAGGCCACAGCCTGAATCACACTGCAGGCCTCGTTCATAATGGTGGGCTCATTCCTCTGCCTGTACTCCCCACAGCAAACTCCTATACATGCTTAAAGGCCCGACTTTAGTGATGCTTCCTCTGGGGAGACTCCACGGCTCTATGGTTCTTTTTGTTTTGTTCTGTGGGATCTCTGGTCCCTGAACCAGAATCGAACCCAGGCCCACAGCAGTGAAAGCATTGAGTCTTAACCACTGGACCGCCAGAGAAGTCCCATCTTTTGTTCTCTTTTTTCTACTTTAAAATTAAAAAAAATTTTTTTCTCTATAGTTCTGATCACTTTGTCTACGCCTATATTTACCAGAGCAAGAAAACACAGTGCTTTTTAAGAAATTTATGTATTTATTTATTTATGTTGAATTTTTTTGAGGGGGAGCGCATGCCATATGGCATATGGGATCTTAGTTCCCAGAGCAGGGATCAAACCCATTTTACCCGCGGTGGAAGCACGGAGTCCTAACCACTGGACCATCAGGGAAGTCCAACACTGTTTTTTTTCCCCATTTCTCTGTCTTTTAGTATGTCCTGAGATGAAGTACCAAAGTTTACCAAGGGCACAGTTTTGGGCCTTAGTTTCCTGATTTGAAACGGAAGATCGGAATATAAAGCCAACAAAGGACTGCTGAGAGGATTAAATGAGTCAGTTCATGTAAAATGCTCAGCACAGTGCCAGGCACATAATAAGCTCTAATATGTGGGAGCTAGGGTTATCACCAACCCCGTGACCTGGGCATACCACTTCTCCCAGCCTAGTTTCTTTATCTATAAACTGTAGCATGAACTAGCAGACGGAATTCATGGTCATCAATGGATGCTAAAATCACTGGGTAAAAGTTTGAAGAGAGCTCTAAAGCAGAATGATGAGATTAATGACTCCTAAAGCCACTGATCAACCTTAGCATTGCTAAATGGTGGAACACCCCGACCTGTGGCTCCTTCTCTGATGCACTGGGAGGGATACAACATCATCCATGAAACATTCTTGAGAGGATCATTGAATCCAAATCAAATCAAGCTTCCAGGGACTTCCTCGGTGGTCCAGTGTTTAAGACTCTGCCTTCTGACGTGGGGGGCCTGGGTTCGATCCCTGGTTGGGGAACTAAGATCCCACATGCTACATGGCCAAAAACAAACAAATAAATAAAAATTAATTAATGAAAAAAATCAAGCCTTCAGTTTTTATAATCTACATCTAGTTACCAGTTTATGAGAAACATAGGGGATAGTGGAGCATGTTAAAAGACACCACAGGGATGCAGTCAACCAATTTTAGATGGTGGAAAACTTGGTCTGGACTATTATTCAGCCATGAAAAGGAATAAAATATTGATACATGTGGCTACATGGTGGAAACTTGAAAGCATGATGCCAAATGAAGCCAGACACAAAAGGTCACATATCATGTGATCCCATTTATATAAAATAACCAAAGTAGGCAAAAGACAAAAGTGGCTGAGTGGTCACCAGCAGCTGGAGGAAGGCAGAAATGGGGAGTGATTGCTGGTGGGTATGGAGTTTCTTTTTCTAAGATGATAAAAGTTTTAGGGGCTTAGATAGGGATAAAGTAGTAGTTTCAAAACCCTGTGAAGCTACTGAAAGCCATCAAATTGTTCACCTTCTAAATGGTGAATTTTATGATATGTGAATTACATCTCAATGAAAGAAAGAGATTTAAAAGATTTATCAATCATATATAATATGTGGGTCTTGTGTGGATCCTGATTCAAGCAAACCCACTATAAAAAGATATTTTGAAGATAAATTAGGGAAATTTGGACATGGACTGCATATTAAATGATCTAACAAAATAAATGGTATCATGTTTGACAGATGTTATAATAGTTGTGTGTGGGCCTATGTTTTGTTTTTTAACAAAGTCCTTATCTGTTAGAGATAATTACCAAAGTATTTATAGGTAAAGTATGATCTCTGTATTTTTCTTTTAAATAATGTGTGTGCGGTTGGGATTGACACATACATATTACTATATATAAAATAAGTAACTAATCAGTACCTACTGTATAGTACAGGGACCTTCACTCAGTACCCTGTAATGGCATATATGGGAAAATAATTTTTTAAGAGTGGCTATATCTATTTACACATAACTGATTCACTTTGCTGTACATCTGAAACTAACACAACATTGTAAACAACTATATGCCAAAAAATTTTTTAATGTGGGGGGTAGATAAAACAAGAATAAAAAATGTTGCTATTTGTTGAAAATTAATATTGGGTATATGGGTTGATTATACTATATCCCCTCTACTTTTTAGTATTCTTTAAAATTTCTATAATACAAGATCAGGCGGTGAAAGGATTGACTTTTCTTCTCTACATTTTGCTTACTCTCAATTTTCAGTAAAACATAGATGTTGCTTTTATAATCAGAAGAATACATTAAGGCTATAAAATGAACTGAGGAGGCTGAAATATCTGACCTGTCAACCTCAGAGCTTGGTCTCCCAGAAGCTATGTCTGCGCCCCACCACTCACCCCACCCCCAGGGTCCTACCTAGCCTTGAGGCTTCCTGGGTGGGAGGGAGAGACTACTAATTGCTTCTTCAGGACTATTGCAAGGATTGCATGAAAGGGGCTTATTCTAAATTATAGGAAGTGTTCAATTAATGGGAACTATTTAGGAGATAGAGGGACTTTATAAAAGTGAAATAATCCTATTAGATGAAAATACAGGAAACAAGGATAAAAGACAAGCTTCATAGTGCCCCTACCCAGAAATAACCACAGTGAATTTTTTCTTTAAAGGTTCTTTCCCATGCAGGAAATTGTGTTTTGCTTTAAAGGACAACTAAGCCTGCTGTCACCACTCACTTACAGCCTGCTTTTATTCTCTTAATATTTTAACATATTTCCTTGTATGCTTAGCTGTTTGTAAACACAACTCTTAGATGGTTGCATAATATTCGATTGGGTGTGTTTGTGCTCTTCACCTAACCCGGGTGTTCCAAGTTCACCACAATAAAGAACACCACAGGGGACAGGTGTGCCTGAATGGCTTCCTCAAGACAGATTTTCAGAATGAAATCCCGAAGCCCAAGGGCCACACCTTTTCAAGGGACTTGGAGAGGTGAACCTCTTGGTGCTCTTGATTTTTGCCACCATTTTGCTAGAATTTTCAACACTGAACTTCGCCAAATATAAACAAGCTCTGATCATACAAAGAAGATGGAAACAGTTCCTGACTATTGCTGTCAGATGCCAGGTAATTTTCTCTGACACCCAAGGGCTGGAATCACCCTTCTTGGCCATTCACTCACATCCTTTAGCAGGAGGTAGGATCAGAAGGTAGTACCGAGAGGGGAGTAGGAAATGAAGAAAATACTCGGGGGGAATCACAGGCCACCCCCGTCCCTCCGATCATTCCTTACCCCAGGTGCTGTGAACCTGTAATCTGAGAACTCAGCAGTTCTGTGTAAGCAGAGGGATTGGGGGGGTATTGGGGGGTGGTGGTNCCCCCCCCCCCCCCCGTCTCAGTCCGCCCACCCCCGAGGGTCGCACTTTGGAGGCACCGCTGATGGATGGCAGGGGCCCCAGTCCGAATGAGGTGTGCGTGTCGGGGGAAGTGTCCCCAGCACCTCACCCCGCAAACACGAGAATCACGAATCCCCGCGGGCCTGGAAGCGGGGGCGTGGCCGGGAAGTCGGGGGCGGGACCGATCTGGGACGTCACGGCCCCGCGCCTGGCCGGCTCCCTCCTTCCTGCGCGCGGCGCCCTCGCGGAGTTCTCACCTGGAGGGACAGGTGTGCGCATCTCGCATCGGAGGCCAGCCCACGAGTGTCAGGTGAGTGTCCGCAGGAGCTCCAACCGTGGGGGCTGAGAGGAGGGTCTGGGGTGGGAATCCTCACTGGATGCAGAAAAGAGCCTGGTTAAAGAGCGAAGCTGGTCCGGCCTATGAGGAGGTACTGGTTTCTCCCCAAACTCCTACTGTATCTCTTGTTTATAGTCACGTTGTATTGAAAACGTAGACTTCGGAGGGATTTGAAGGAGGGGAAGCTGACGGGGAAACAGCAGATTTCCAAATATTTCAACCACAAATTATTATTTTTTTACACGATAACTTTTTTTTTGTTGTAAAAGTAACAGACACTGATTGACTCTTTGGCAACTGAATAAAAGTAGGAAAGAAATCACCCATGGTACTAACACACAAGCAAAACAACTGTGGCTATTTTGATGTATTTCCTTTCAATCTTTTTTCCAGAGGCAATCACTGTAATGTAACTTTATCATCCTGTATGTACAGTTTTTATGTCTTCCCCTCTTAACATTGTGTCATACGCATTTTCTTGTGTTGTTATTAGTCATTCCAGTATGTATAATCATTATTTTTAATGGCTGCATAATGTTACATTTGAAGGATGGGCCATAGTTGCGTACCATTCTGAACACTTGGAGGAAGGATTAGAAGGGGAGACAGAGATGTATAATAGAAAGAACATGGGCTCTAGGTCAAGCAGGCCTTCAACAAGAGAATCTTGGGAAAGATCTTTGCTCTCTCTAAGCATCAGTTTCCACATCTGGGAAATGGCTATATAAATCTGTTTCCCCAGGGTATTGTGAGGATTAGGTGAGCTAATTTATGTAGATAATCCCCATCTCCCACCCAGCTCCCATGGTTCTGGCAGAAAAAGGGTCCACATGTTTGTGAGTTTGGAGGAAGGATTTGGACCAGTGGAAACTGCTCTATGAGTGGAGTAGAGGAAGAGCTGGGGAGGGAGAATGGGTTCTTGGGAAAAACCCCAGAATGCAGAGGCCTCTGGGTCTGGGAAAGATGGGCATGGCCATCCACTCTGTTTGGGCCAGGCACAGACAGGGCCCCTAAGGCCCCGGTGGCAACCTCCAACCTCACAATGGATTCATAGGTTCAAGTCCTTGGGACAGCTTCTGGAAAGAGTTCAGAGTGAGCGGATTGAAAGAAAAGTAGAATGGGCAGAAGGGAAGCTTAGTAGTCAACCCCTTGTACAGATAAGGAAACTGAGGCTCGGGCACTCGTGATTTGTTCAGGATCCACACGGGCAGCAGTAACAGAGCATGTGTGGAGTCCCAGGCTCCTAATACCCTCAGGGGCCTCCACACCAGAGACTACTCAGTGTAGGAGGAGGAAGAGGTCAGGGCTGAGTCACCAGCTGCACTTATACCAGGCTAAGTTGTGCTTAGAGAAAACAGATGTCTCTGTTCTTCGAGCCTCCATTTTCTCATCTGTCAAATGGGGAGAATAACTCCTCACCTACCTACTTAATACCCACTGCCAGGCCTGCCTATCCACAGCTAGCCAGCGCCTCCTTCCACTTTCAGGGACATAGTCTGTCTCTGGTCATACACCCTCACCCTGAGCCCCTCATCTTCTTGACCTCTAGCCATCTTCAGGGGGGTGGGAGCTGGGAACTTGTCAGCTGCGCTAGACTGTGGCCACACTTCAGTTAGAGTGGGAAATCCACACTCCCTGAATCATCTGCATGATTTCCTGACCTGGGATGTTCTGTTCTATGTTTCTAATTTGGCTCTCCCGTAATGTACCCCGACAGCCTGCTCTCACTGGATGAGAAGGACTCTGAACCCTGGCAGGAACTCCTGAGGACTAAGAAAATCTTGTACTGAGGGTCTACAATCATCTGAGGCTCTCTCTTTTCTTTTTTCATCTTGGCCAGAGCTTTGATCCGGAGCTTTCAGGATCTTAGTTCCCCAATCAGGAATCAAATCCCCCAGGTCCTTGGCAATAGAGACGAAGAGTCCTAACTACTGGACCATTAGGGGAATTCCCTTGAGGCTGTCTGTTTCTGCCAGGCCTGTCACTCCAGGACAGTAATGAGGGTGTCAGGGTACCTGTAGCAATTGGGTGTCTGGGATCACTGATGTTCTGAAACAGAATCGGGGAAGTCACCTTCCAATTCACAGATAAGAACTTGAGAACTAATACTTGTTGAGAGCCTCATTTGCCAGCCTCTTGTTCTAATTGCTTTTGAGCCATACTATGAAATTGTCACCTTACTGTTCCCATTTTACAGATGGTGAAACTGAGGCACAAAAAGTTAAATAAATTACCCACATGGTGCCAGGATTCAATCCTGGGCATGCTAACTTAAGTGTCTGTTCCCATTACTGCTGCCTCTTTAGCCTACAGTGGTGTCTGATTTGATGCACACCTGTTTTTCCAAATACATATCTGTTGTCATCTTCTGCCTGGACCATCAGGGCTTTCTGGGATGTTGATATCCTTAACCCTGTTCACACTGATTTCTAATGACTCATTCTGGGTTCTGAGTCTCCTGCAACTGACACACTCCATCGGAGGAGGGCCCATCACAAGGCCCAGACCAGGCCTGGCTCTGCTTCCTGTAACTGAGTTGGTAATAACTGCACATATCAATATGTGTCAGGCTCTGGCTACAGACTTTTTGTCCATCACCCCTTTTAATCCACTTGAGTGTTATTACTACACCAATCCCTGAGATGATGAAATGAGGCTTAGGAAGGTTCTATAAACTCACCCTGCCACATAGCCCAGAAGTAGCTGACTGAGGACTTGAATCCAACTAGTTAAAGCAGGGTCTCTACCATCACTGCCTCTCAAGTGAGAACTCATTGCAAGGGTCCTAAACACTAATGCAGACTTTGGCTGAATACCCAGTCTGTACAGATAGTTTTAAACATGCCTTTTGTATTTAAATGTACGTCTGTTTGTTATAACTTAAGTGTGTGTGTATATATATATATATTATCTGTGTTAATGAGTGTGTGTGTGCTGTGCGCACTGTCTCTTCAGTCGAGTCTGACTCTTTGCGACCCTATGGACTGTAACCGGCCAGGCTCCTTTGTCCATGGGATTCTCCAAGCAAGAATACTGGAGTGGGTTGCCCTCCTCCAGGGGATCTTCCTGACCCAGGGATCGAACCCATGTCTCCTGAAGTTCCTGATTTGCAAGCAGATTCTTTACTGCTAAGCCACTGGGGAAGCCCCAATGTGTGCATTATAAAACAAACATTAAATTAGAATACTTAGGGAATTCCCTGGTGATCCAGTGGTTAGGACTCCACACTTTCATTGCCAAGGGCTCAGGTTCAATCGCTGGATCAGGGAACTAAGATCCCACAAGCCATCCAGCATAGCCAAAAATAAATAAATAAAAATAAAATAGAATGTTTAGAAGGCTAAGGTGAATAAGAATACAAATTCCATTTTTTCTCTTCCCACACCCCAGTGGGTCGCTGCATGAACAGGTATCTACCCTGGACATAACCACCTTAATGGGCCCCAGAATCCTCTGGATGCTTCCAGAGTGGGTGAGCAGACTCATTCAGTGGGGGCCTGAGATACATGGGCAGGTCCAAGTTGGCCTGAGGGAGACAAAGGCAGAATGGGGCCCAGTCCCCGAGGATAGGGTGAGGCTCCAGGGTGGATCTGGGAGGGTAAATTGAGCCTTTCATAGCCTTTATGAACATTAGGTCAGATTCTCCTGGGCGCTCTCAGAGTTTTGAGCTGTGAAACAGGTGGGGCCACCTCCAGCTCCCAGGATTGTAGAATTCAACGAGGTTCAATCATGAGTGCCCTAGTGCAGCCGCTGGCACATTGTGTATCCAATAAATGTCAGTTTGCTAGTTCAACTCCTGTCTCTTCTTTTCACCCATGTGTAGAACCTGAAGCTGCTCTGAGCTAACAGTGGATAAATCCCCTATTTAGCTGTTTTGGATTGGTGACCCTACTGACCTCCACCTTCCTTTTCAACCTTCTATCTAGAGGGAGAGGGATCCTGGGTGCCATTTGACTGGTCTCCCCACAGTGGCTCCCCAACCCCCAAATATCTGAGGTCCCTTCCATAGGGCATTCACTTGGGCTATTCTTCTTTAGCTTCTGTCTCCTCGCCACCCTCAAATCCTACCCACTTTCAAGACCCACCTCCCCAGTGGCGACTCCTGAGTCTCTGAAAGGGCTGGGGCTCAGTGCGCTTAGAAGGGGACTCAGGGACTTGTCTGGATGCTGTATGTGCGCAACACCTCACTTGAATTTAAGAAAACCCAGGTTGTACATCTCATAGAACACCCCAGTGGAGGGCGAGGGGGTGGCTGGCCACCGTTTGGTGCCTCTGCCGACCGTAGGCCACGTGGATCTGTCTGGCATTGTTAGTCCATCTTTTTTCTTCAGTATACCTAGACTCCCCACCTGGATTGTCAACTCCTGGCGAACAGGGTCCGGTGAGCACCTCTCAGGCCCTGCGAGAAGTTGGCATCAGGAAATGTTTGTGGACAGGCATGTGACACAGTGAAGAGATGATGAGTCGCAGCAGCTATGCTGAGTTGAGAAGTGTTGTGGGAATTGGGATTATTAGCCGTGGCAATCATCGTAATTCCCGTGGCCTGGCTAATGAGTGGTTGTGTATCCTGGGGACGGGATTCCTTGGATTCCCAGAGGCTGGAAGGTGCGAGTTTTGGACAGAGTCAACAGCAGTGTGAACAAGGGAGGTTGTGCCTTGTTCAGAGGGGCCAGGTGAGCCCAGAGGGGCGGCCAGGGGACAGGCTGAGTTGTCGGAAGGGAGTGGATGGGAGTGGGGGGTGGGGCTAGAGGCAGGGTGATGTGGTCCTTTGGTGATGCTGGGGTATTTTTAGTGCTCACTGTGCCTTTGGGACACGTGGCAGACATTCCTAACTCCTCTGGGAGTTGATTTCCCTTAAGAAGACAGCAGCATAGGAAATGCTGAGAGAGGGTGTGCCCCCGCCAAAGGGCGGGCAAGAGCCCACCACAAGAAGGCCCGGAGAGGGAGAGGAGAAACCACAGGCCTGTCCCTGA